TTTTTGAGACGGAGTCTTGCTCTGTGGCCCAAGATGGAGTGCAGTGGCATAATCTCGGCGGCTCACTGCAAGCTCTGCCTCCTGGGTTCACACCATTCTCCTGCCGGATCCTCCCGAGTAGCTGGGACTACAGGCACCCACCACCATGCCCGGCTACTTTTTTTGTGTGTGTGTGTTTTTAGTAGAGATAGGGTTTCACCGTGTTGGCCAGGGTGGTCTCAATCTCTTGACTTCGTGATCCGCCCACCTCGGCCTCCCAAAGTGCTGGGATTTCAGGTGTGAGCCACCGCACCCGGTCAAAAAACATCTATTCTTAACTGTGTGTTTTATAATTACTAAGTATTGTGGGGGTTTTTTGTTTTTTTTGACACGGAGTCTCACTCTGTTGCCCAGGCTGGAGTGCAGTGGCGTGATCTTGGCTCACTGCAAGCTCCACATCCCAGGTTCACGCCATTCTCCTGCCTCAGCCTCCCGAGTAGCTGGGATTGTAGGCGCCCGCCACCACACCCACTAATTTTTTGTATTTTTAGTAGAGATGGGGTTTCACTGTGGTCTCGATCTCCTGACCTCGTGATCTACCCGCCTCGGCCTCCCAAAGTGCTGGTATTACAGGCGTGAGCCACCACGCCTGGCCCAGTTTTGTTAATACATACTGCTCTTAATGTAAGTAGCATTTAAGAATTACATTTTCTCCATATGTCCTTGTGGGTAGAGGTAAAAAAAAGAATTACATTTTCTTTAGTCACGCATCCTGGTGCGTGCCTGTAATCCTAGCTATTCAGGAAGCTGAGGCAGTAGGATCGGCTGAGCTCCGGAGGTCAAGGTTGCAGTGAGCCATGGTCCCACCACTTCTTTTCAGCCTGGGTGACAGAGTAAGACCCTGTCTCGATAAACAAATAAGTAAGAATTAAGTTTTCTGAGGCTGGGCATGGTGGCTCATGCCTATAATCCCAGCACTTTGGGAGGCTGAGGCGGGTAAATCACTTAAGGCCAGGAGTTCGAGACCAGCCCGGACAACATGGCAAAACCTTGTCTCTACTGAAAATACAAAAATTAGCTTGGTGTGGTAGCTCATGCTGTGATCCCAGCTACTCAGGTGGCTGAGGCACAAGAATTGCTCGAATCCAGGAGGTGAAGGTTGCAGTGAGCCAAGATTGCACCACTTCATTCCAGCCTGGGTGGCAGAGCAAAACTCTGTCTTTAAAAGAAAAAAGGAAAAAACACATTTTCTATATTGATAGTGCCCGTTCTTTGGATATGGGTTTTGTATTTGAACCTAGTTGATTCTGAATATACTGAAATGTGA